GGGCCGGGCCCGGCCCCTCCACACTCGATCCTCCGCACCGCACCACGGGGTAAAAGGAGCAGCATTTCCACGTTACCGTGAAGCACACAGACTGTCGAATGCAACGTGGCAATGGTGGGTCTTCACTCCCGCTCCAGCGCCTGTGAAGAACGGCACCCTTCCCCTTTGCTGTGGGCCCCAGCTGTTCCAGCCTTCCCCACTTTCATCCCCTTTCCCTAGCCTTCCAAACAGCACCATTCTCTCAGTTCACCCACATCCATCTCATCTCTCTCTCCTCCTCCCTCTTCCCAGGCTCAAGCCTCCTACTCCCCAGTCTACTTCTTTCATCACACTCTTGGACATCAGGCAGCTATCTCCCCCAAGCATTCAGCCATCAGACACCGTTAAGTCTTTGCTGAGCAGGTGCAAGAAACAAAAACACTTCCCTAAGACAGTCACCTTTATGAAGTTGTGCACTTTCTTATCAAAATAGAAGTGCCAAGTTTCTCGTGCTGGGGGTGACTCCTTTGCTCTTTCCAGACACGGAAGAACAATTATTTCTCAACAGGAAAAGCACGATTACAATTTTAGCAAAGGTATTTTCACTTTCAGAAATAACTTTTTACCAAAATATTTAATAAAAAATCCAGCATGTAGCCAGTGTGACAAATTTGTGTAATTCTGACAAAATTGTAAGCCATCCACAGACAACTACCTCAGGAAGCACAGGGCAACAGTAGTGGGAGGCAACAGGAGTGCTTAAATCCCACTGGAAATAGCACCGATACCTAAAAAGTCACAGAAATCACTGCTAGCAGACAAATCAACACTTGTTTTATTTCCACCTAAGCCAAATCCCATCCCGAACACACAGTAATGCATTTATAACTAGCTCTGTTCACAGAGGGAACTTGGATCAGCTCCCCATCTCACTGAAACGTATCGATATTTTCCACTTACATGCACAAGGCCAAGATTTCATTCCTGGGAGCTGGTGACACCAGAACGCTGAACACAAGAATAAATTGCATCTGTGCTTCCAAAATAAACAACAGCACAATACCTTCCAGCTGAAGTGATTTGGCCTGCGTACCACTGGACTTCTGCCTTCAGTACCAGGGCCAAAAGCTGTGTTAGCTGGTAGAGATTTCTTGGCTCTTGATGTGGATTTAAAAAAAAGAAAAGAAAAGTTTGCTATACTGCTGAGGGAACTGCTCAACAGCTGCACGTGGCATTTCCAAGCAGACGTGAGACAGGCACAACGGTATTTGGACCACAACTGGCATTTCTGTGTAAGCATCAGAAGAGCATGGGGTAAAACCACATGAGCAGCACCACCCAGGTGGCACAGCTGGGAGAGGTAAGGCACCTGGATGGGCACAAGTTAAAGGAACACACATAGTGTCAGTTTTGGGAGAAGACACCTGGGACACACACTCCAAAAGATTTTTCAGTCATATGCATTAACACCAGATATTTCAGGGCAGTACATTTACACTGAAGCAGTACAGATATCACCAGATCTTAAGAATCAGATCACAAAGCCCAAAGGTTTTGATTTTAAATGTTAAGAACTAGTACTTCTAGGACAACTACAAAATCTGCAAGCTAATGTACTGACAACAAGTTATTGGAGTAGTTTTAAGACTTAACTTCAAGGATTTGGAGACCGGAGTACATAAGAAATACGAGAATGCTTGGAGACCAAAGATTATGCCCATGGTGCATGTTCCTGTGCTGGTGTCTCCAAGAGGCCCCACAGAGCCCAGCTGCCCATTTGCACTCCATTTGTATACTGCTAAACCCGACCATCAGATCTGCCACAGATTTACCTGTAGAAGCCAGGATGTTTTCTGTTCCTTTCCTCCCCTTGATACAAAACTTTGTTTCTAAGATTCTTGTTTTCCCCCCTTTTTTCTTGAAAACATTAGCATTTGGGCTACTGCTGCAGAGACAGTACCCCGAGGTGGGCACACCAGTGCCTGCTCGCTCAGGGTCGCTGTTCCCGATGCCTGTTCCATATATTCTGCTCTCATGTTTAAGACTCAGTGCTTCATTAGACATAATGACATAAGGGAATTTTCCTTCCAGGTGAATTTGGTGGAGATACTCAGGCATGGTTCATTTGCTGGGGATTTTTTTTTGTCTTTTTCCATGAATAAGCTGCAATACCTGTACATAGCCACATGCAACTTTAATGATGACTTAATTCATACTGTGCCAGTGTCCACATGCCAAATCCATACATTCTTACATTGATTTTTACACCTTGCATCACAACTCTCTTATCAGCTTTTCCTTAATTTCACAGGGTAAAGCTTCCCTTAAAAATTAAGCTAACATAACCCACAAGTTTGTTTGATAACATTTGGCTGTCAAACACCTGTTCCCCAGACAGCAGGCCATGCCAGGTAATATACAGCAGAAGATGCACTCTGTGTACTTACCAAATCATTGCACTTACATCTAAAGAAGAGCGTACCATTAAAACTGAAATGTACTGAAATTTAGAGATACATTTAGTCAATGAAATAATACCATATGATTATATTTTATGTTCAGCTTTTATTTCCACTTTCAACACTACTCAGTAACGTTCAAATAGTAAAGTTCACTTAAAACTGAACATAAAAGCTTTCATGAGCCTTGTATCTCCCACTCCATTCTGTACCTACATGACTTGTCAGCATATTGCATGGCAGCAAACCTTGGACTGCTCATTATCCTAAAGGAGGGCAGGTTTAACAATTTGGATAAAGTTCAGCAAATTTCCCATTGACATTGGTAGAAACAGGACGGGGGGGGGGGGGGAGAAAACGAGAATGTGCAAGACGCCCCAAAAGGCAGAAACACACTTGAAACACACTTGATAAATCTGTGATTTCAGGCAAAGATTAAAGATTCCATTTTAAAATTTTACTTGTATCCTGAAGAGTAATTGGTGGACTTAAATTTAAATAGCTGGTTTTGAAAAGAAATGGAAGCAGTTGTGCTTAGCTGTTGCCATTGCAAAAACCTATTCTGGGACATACTGAACTATGAATAACATCACAGAAAATTTGTAAAATGTGCGGCTCATTTCAACACCAAATTGCAGTTGAAAGACTCAAAGCTAATCAACAGACTATGAGAAACCCGACTCATGATTTAAAGCCCTGATTTCATTTACGCCAACATAACGTAACTGATTTCAGTAGAGGTACTTCTTATTTACATGACTATAAGAACTTAAAATCTGAAACATTAACAATGAGGAGAGGCCTTCAAAGTGGGGAACTCCCATCTGCTACACAAAAAGCCCTTTAGAATCCAATTTTAGACTTGCAAAGTTTATTTTCTAGTCATACTGCACGTTTCTAACGCACTGCAAGAACACAGCACTGCACAGTATTACTATATACATTAAAGGCCAGATTCACAGACTTTCATTTACATTATGCTGCAGCCACCTGTTCTGGAGGTGACACTCGCACCAGTAAATAGTGTTTCTGCTGCCAAGTTTCCTTCAGACAGTTACCCAGGAACAGCTCTGACTCCTACCAGAGCTGCAGCAGTAGGAGCTGCTGATTCAGCACGTTCTCCAGCAGCCCTGTCAGATTGCAGTCCCACCTGGAAACGCCCTCTGGCTCCCTCAACTTAGTACAAGACTTAGGGCACCACTGTCCCCAGCACCATTATCTTTGCCAGGGCATGTGGCAGAACAGATGCTATGAAAAAAACAGAGCTCACATGAGAAGTTTGACTAGACTAGTGTGATCCAAAAGCCCACGCACTGGGATTTCTACTGGAAGTTTCCTGCTTGTACTACTGAAGCCAGAGCATCCTTGCGAGAATTTTTAATTTTTTTTTTTTCCTTCTAACAATCTTGGCTCATAATTGGCAATGAGGTTTTACGAACTGAAAAGACAGAGGACAAGATGTTTAAGTTTCCTCAAAAATCTCTAAAGCAAACGAGCATGCTTTTGACTGTACTGATTTCTAAGAAAATTCGTTTTCACTTAAACCCAAGGACTAACCACTTCACCCTCACTTCTATAAGAGATTCAGAAAGCCAAACCAAACATTACTATAATTTTATAACTTTCAAAGGACTTTTTGAATATGGCTAACAGTTCAGCATTTTGCCCAAATATGTTTTCACACAAATTTAAACAGAAAGTGATCTGTTGATATACATTCTACAGATGGGCAAACCTAGCCCTGTATGATGTGACATTATAGCTAACAGCAGAAAATAAGACTAGATGCCACACTGCAAAATGTATTCTGGCCAGAAAACACAAGGCATTTTAATCCATGAGAATACATGCATAAAAATCATAGACTGTTCAGAGAATCATAGATTCAATACATAAATGCAGGTTTCAAACTTCATGAACATTCATCTTAAGTGTTCATGATGGGTTGGCAAACATGGCTTAAAAGTTTTTCCTTCCAAATCAGCCAATGCTGAAATGCACAGCGAGTATCATGAACCTAGAGGGACTCAGATCTTTTTTTTTTTTTTCCAAATCGAAGTATTTTAGCTCCTATGTTTTCACAGTTTAAACACAAAGAAATCAGTGACAGGCTCACTGCTAGAATACACTAGAGTGTGGTTAAGCCTACTCCTTTTGGAGAAAGCAACGTGATTTGATGTTGTTAAGATCCAGTATTTTTTTCAGTTCAAAGTCAAGAGTCACTTTTTAGTTATATTAACCATAAACCAGCAACCTATTTTTAGTTTCAAATCAAGTTTTGCAACTCTTAGCTAAATACATTTACTATCTGAAGATTCACAAATACCAGGGTAAAACAGCAGGTAATAAAACATGTTTTTAATCTTTTAATAAGATACACACAGAGAAAATATAAACATACCCTTCCTGTAAGATACACAGCATAAAACAGCTTTGAAGAGAATTCTGGAAGAAAACTGTATTCTATTTCAGGCTTGCCTAAATCAGGGAAATTTGTCCAGCACCCCCTCACTTTGAACTCAAGAGAAAGCTCTGGCTTACTCCTTTGTAATACCTTCTAGTATAAGGAGGTTCACAGGGTCAACTTTTATCCCTAATCTTGTGGAACATTCCTCAATACCTCCAACTCCAGCAGCTTTATGCATGCCAAAATACAGACTGCAAAACTGTAGCAGCAACATTTAAACATACAGAAACTGAATTACAGGCTAAGTAATTCCAGTAGTGCTCCTACCTTATATTAGTTATACCTAGACCTCTTCATAAATTGCACTGAGAAAAAAACAAGACCAAGTGTTCCAAAGCTTGCAATTTAAGTGGGTGAATTTTTTTAAAATAAAGTTTTATGTTGTTCTTTGCATCTGGCAGTGAGGAAGTAAAACCGTTTCATTAGGTTAGTATTAAATGCATATTTAAGTTTGATAAAAACCTTACTGCTAAACTAATCTTACTTCTCGAGTTTCTTCAACTTTGTTCTATAAAGAAGAAAGAATTAAGGTGAAGGAATTTTATTTTCCTTTTATATTGCCTTTAAATTGAAAGGGAAAAACAAAAAGGCAAACGCTGTCTTTTTTTTTGCCCTCCAGGGTACCTGCAGGATTTAAAAACAGCTTTCAGAAAATAAAGTAGCACCATGAATTAAAACTTGAGATTAAGAAATATGGTTTTGAATAACCAATTTTACAGCAATAAAAACTTGACTTGGTAAAACAATATTCACATATTCAACTAGAATTGAATTAAGAAATCATCAAAACCTTAAAAGCATTCTAAGCCCCTCTGGACTCTATGTAGTTAGGACTGATGGAGGGGCACAGTAAAGAAATGTCAGTTTTTGTGAATTATGTCCAGTCTGGTACGAACCTGAAGATACAAAAAAAAGGGTGGGATACTTAACACATGCTTTCAACATCCATCTGTAAATATTAAAACATGCAGAGTACAGAAATCAAAGATTTTTGCAATACAGGGGAACATTAAAAATGATACCTGAGGTCAGCGTGTGTTTCTGCTAAGAACCAGATGCAAATGCAACAGATTGGCTCCTTGTGCATGAGAAGCAAGTACAACTCTGTTGACTAGAAACATACATAATTAAAGTGAGTAACAGCAAAATAGACAGGGTACAAGTGAGAGATACATAACCTTAACACTAATTAAATCACAGCCCACCATTTAAGTATCCATATGTATTTTCTACAATGAAAATAGTCATGAAGGAATGCCTGTTTCTACAGCCGCAGTAAACTGAGATTTGGACATACTTGGATACTTCTAATGAGACTGCATCTTGCCTTCCTTTTATTTAGAAGTCATACAGACAGAAAAGACTCTGGCAATACCTTCCAGCAAGATTTTGCTGTAGAAGCATTTCAATGAAAAGTCAGTTTTCTAACCTATACAGCTTGTTAGACACTTGTTGCTAGATGCTGTGACCTTGTAAAATGTATTTAAAGCGTAACATCGCATACCTTGCCAAATTTAATATATATATACATCTTGGAGGACAGGTTCTATATATTGTTTATTAAAAGGCCATAAAGCAAAAAGATGCTGGAAGAAATGCTCTCAGAAGTCAACATGAACACAGCATCACCTTGTATACTGGCCTTAAATCTTCTTCAAAATGCAACATATATTCAGCAATGTATGTTGGTCCTCTGACCTCAGGTATGGACCATTTCAAAAATATATTGGCAATACATATGAACAGCTGTTACACTTCTAGAACAAGGTCTTGTTATACGCATACTGCAAAGTTTATAGTAATTTGCTCACTTCTGAAAACATCCCTTTTAAGTGATTTGCGAGATGTTTCATGGACTTTCATATCCTTAATCCATGGAGTACATAAATCCAAGGAGGAGGCAAGATTCATCTAGGAATAGTATCCTAGAAACATTCATATTTTATTTTTCTTAAAGTCTGTCTGAAATTAGCCATGGTTTTAGATAATTAGTCACAAATACAACAGAAATTTCTCCTACAAAACCATAGCACATACCTGTAAATGAAAGAAGCCCAAATTCATACTAAGATAGCAAGAGTTCAGAAAATAATGTTGGATCTCAGCCTTCTCTGAATATTTGCAAATACACAGGACAGATTTATTCTCTACAGAACACAAGCTTTGCCCTTAAAACAAAGCCAGCAGCAAGG